AAGAACAATATCCATTTGTATGTCTATATGGTCAATGTCAAAATCCAGGGAAACTCAGAATTCTTTTTCAGTAATAATTTAAAACAAAAGTGTGTCTCAATTAAATTCGTAAAGTGAGTTTTTGTTTCGTTAAAAGAAGTTTTATCTAACAAATGACATAATAAGTTCTCATATTTTTATTACTATTTTAAATCGTTCCAGGATTTATCGCCCAGGGGTCTATTTTATTCACCGTACGAATAATTTCGTATATTAGAAATGTTCTTATACAGACTCATAATATCATACATTGAGAAAACAACCCCAGTATACAATTTATCCGTGTTACGTAGAAAATATGTCATGCAAGTCATATTTATCAACTGATTTTTTAAATGCATCATATAACATAATCGTTTTTAGAAACGAAAAATAATATAAAAATTGCTACTGTAATTAAGTAAGAATCACAATATGAATCAAACATTACGCGGTAGATTTGAATGATATGGCAATTAACGAAGAAAATGTATGAAAAACATAACATAGGTAACTTGTATATAAAATATAGTAATAACCAAAAATAGAAAAAAAATAATGGTTAGTAAGTGGTTTTGCTAACCTTATTACTTCTTCCTCCGTGATTAAAATAGGATATTCAGGATTACAAAATTTCTATAGCAGAATAGTAGTACTGAGTAGTCTTGGAAACTAAATAAAATAGTACACACTCATCATTAGTCTCGGGATGTTGATAAGCGGAACACTTATGATTATTACAGAATAAACTGATACTGGATAATTTTTGACATTCGTACAGAATTTGTATTAAAATATTGAAATTGCGTTGCACTTGAGTAATGAAATCGAATATGTTTTATATATTTTAATTTTAGATTTTGGTTTTTATTATCCCTTAGAGCTTAAGGCCCTAGTGTAATACACCCCCTGCACCATTGATAAATCTGGCACTGACTCTGAAGGTTGACGACAATGTTTTATATTTAGTTTTAGACCTAATTATTAAATTTAAGATTTATGTTTTTTGTGTGTGTGTCGAAAATTGTTAGTTATTAATATCTAAAATGTGATAATTTCGAATGATGCACATCATTACAACATTATGCTCATTATATAAAAAAATTAGTAAACACTATGTTTAAACAAGTTCGAAAGTGTTGTAGGGCGGGATTTAAAACCTCGACCTTCACATACTCGTGTCATTATGTTGAACATGCATGGTGTTTATATATATGTTTTTAATGACCATCAACGGACACTGGGATCGACAGAAGTTTTTATTGCGAACTTTATTGTCCATTGTAAATGCGTCAGCCTTATAACCTACTATATCTTCTGTAGGTTTATACAGTATACAATTGTAAACTTTTTTTTAGTTAAATATAATTGTGTTGTAAATGTTTATAATATTTCTAGGTAGTTCTAAGGTCTAATATTCAAAATCACGAAACATTAAAACAATAACGACGAAAAAGATGTTTTTAACCCTTACGGGGGTTAAAATAATAATACGTGATCACAAATTCAATTTTATAATATCTTGTGAGATACTTTAGCTGCTTAGTGTGTTATACTAATATTATATCAAATAATATCCACCAATAAGTGGCACAGCGCAGTGGAATCATATTAGCGTACAAATTAAAAAAGATAACTTAATTAATGGAAATCTAAGACTAAATGAAAAAATACGGAGAAATTCTAGTAAATTTATTATGTTTAATATTATAATGTATTAAATGTTTTATAAGTTTATCCATCCGCGCTGTTCACAAATTTGCGATTAAATAAATCTAATAAAATGTATTTATAATACAAATCGTTTTTATGATGCCTGACTTTTTTTCATTGCAATCGATTTGTCACACTTTTCATGAACTATCGTCGAAAAATTGTGTTCAAAGTCAACAAATAACAAGTATATTAGTGTAAATTTCTGTTGATAACGAATGTGTGTCAGTATTATGGAGTATTTCGTTTGTTCAAAAATCAAAAAAATATAGCTGTATAAATCTCATCAAAACTAAAATCACATTATATTTATGGTAATCTATGTTTTAAAAAATTACTATATATGTATTTTTTTATTTTAAATCTCCTATTCTAATTGTATTATAATATAAAATAAATAATAAGATACTTTTCATGAACATATACAAAAAAAGTTCACGTGACATCAATAGATTATACTAGTCTAAACCTTCAACCCATTCATATTTTGGTATAGTTACTGTATAAAATTCAATAAAATAATGATACACGTATATGCTACTATTAACTATATATATCGATGATTTTGTAATGAATTATTATATTTCATTCACTGAATATCCTAATATTATAATATTATTGGCTTGAACACTTTGTTTTAAGAAAAATTAATTATAATACAGTAGAAAAAAATATTACTTTTATAATGCATATTAAATTATTACCTTTGAGTCGTAACTACATTTTATCAGTAAGAGATTTTTAATTCGTCTGTCGTCGTTCTAAAATGTTAATAACAATTTTAATTTGACCAGTAAACTTTTAAACTTTATTATTTGTTGTAAACTGTAAATAAAAAAAAAGTTTTTGTTTAACTCAACCCATCCAAGATAACTGCAAGTATAAATTTTACTAAGTAAATTGAAGAAGCAAGTGAATTAAACAAATATGACTATAAGCTCATCGTGAACTCATTATTTTAAATTAATAAATATTATCATTTAATTATTCAAATGAGAATTTTGCACATACTATAATATTAATGAGTTCAAGATAAAGATAGATTTAATCACCTTAAATGTTTTTGTATTAAATATTTAAAACATAACTACGTGATAATTCAAAAAATAATTTGTAAATTACTATAAAATGAATGCTAGACAAAGAAAACATTTATCAATTTTAATGATTAAATTTACTGTATTTATATGAAAAACAATTCTGAATAAAAAAAAAAAAAAACTAAAAAAATAGTTTTAATGTGGAAAAAAAATGTCTATCTTCATTACTTCATATTAATAAATAATGTAATACAAAATAAAATATAAATAAATAATGTAAAATAATATAAAACAATATATAAATAATATAAATAATGTATCATTTATACTTGCATTACCCATTGACATATATACTGACTTACATTACTTTTTATTACCCCAAATGATAAAAAATTGTCAAAACTGAATATCTTTTATGATTATTGTCAGTAAATATTTTTAATTTTATAATGGTTTATTTTCAAATAATAATAAATTAAATAAAACAGCTATTATTTAGTTAGAAAAATACATTTGAAAACACACATAAGTTATTTTTTTACCGTATATTATATTGTATAACGTTAATTGATTTCAGTACTGTATAAAAAAATAATTAATAAATCAATAAATATAGGCATTAATAGAAAATTTTTGGCGTTTTGCACTTCATCTTAATCTATTTCCGTATTAAATTAGTGGGCATTTTTTTTGTTTAAAATGAAAATTAAAAAATTAAATTGAACATGATGATAGTATAATAGAGAAAATAGTATGTAAAGCGGAATAATTTTTAACAGATTCTACCAAGATTTAGGTGGAAAATGTCTGAAGGAATTAAACGTTTTGAATTACATAAGTATATCAGCGAAGCCTGCTGTGGCGATCTTAGGATCACAGCAGCAAATGTAAATCAGTGAGACAACAAGGATGAATAAGTGGCGCTGGGGGTGGATGAACTCCGAGAAGAAAAGAAATCATTTAAAATCTTACTAAACGTACCCGAGCACAGATGTATATCCATTCCCGAAATCATGACAGTTATTCTCGGTCCATTAATACGATCAAGTCGGTACGCCGTTGTCACTGCTTTGAACCAAATGCGAGTGTATAACGACAAAATACTGTTGAACGAACGAACGTGTGTGCTTGTGCAAGACCGTTTCATGGTTTTCACACATATAGTACCAATTGCAGATTACTAATTGACAAAGTGATGATTTTAATGCACTAAATTATTATATAAATAATTCAATTATACTATATTCATCATTATCATTTCTATTTTTATTTTCTGTTCGAACTTCAGCATTTACATGTTTTTCATTACACATTCACTAGCAGAATTTTTTTTTTTTTTTTTGATTATTTAACATATAAGAATTGAATATCGAATTAATATTACTAATTATTTTTTAGTGATTATAATGGTTAAAATTGTAAAAACTACATAGAACCTTACAAAACTATTATTTGCTGGCACACATAAGCTAACCGAGAAAATTCCTGCAGTCTAATGTTAAATTAATGATCTGACGTATAGTTGGGTACAAGGCTTATATTGTGGGCACTATGTGTATAAATGTCATTTCAAACACTGCATATAAGACCCAGGGAAAAGCGTATCGCATTAGTTATGGTAAAATCCTTAGGGTCGTTATCTCTGACCGAAAATGATCACATGTAGTGTCACGGAGATAACAAGGTTCGACAATAGAAACAATAATAATAATCTTACAACGTGGTACTTTACTGTATATGTGATACATAAATTACAAATCTATTTGAATCTAATGATAGGGTAGATATTATAAAAGACAACGACACATGAGTCACCTCACAATATAACAAACAAGACGCATATCATTAAGCAATAACAAAATGATAACTTTATCACAAATCAATGCAGGCATAAAAAAAAAACATTATTCACTGATCAAACAATGGTTTCGTTCATTTGGAATAATTAAGGAACTGCCAAGTATTAATTATACTCATGTGCCAAATAAAATAGTATAAAATAATATAAAATATTTTGGGTTCTATAATACTATTTATTATTGTATATATATTACCTACATTTTTTTTATGATTCGGATTATTCTCAATGAAAACCTTCAGTCAGGTATTTTTATTATAAACAAGTTCAGCTATAATTAAATTTTTAAAAGTCTAGCTCTGATATTACAATATATTATTTACCGGTTTCGTTTAATCTAATAAAATAAAAAATGTAATAACAATACTGACCTTTTACAGCTGAATATTTCCTTTGTGACATAAAAATAACCATAAAACATCGTTTCCTAAAGACAAAAAAAAAAGAAATGACATTATTATATTGTATAAAACAAGTAAACAACAACAAAAATAAATAATAATTATTTATTATGTATTTATGAATTTAAATAAAAAATAAAATATATATATATATATATATATACGAACACTAAACATAAATATAAAAAGAAATTTCACGTTCAATATCTAAATAGTGAGATAAAAAATAACTTTATATATAATAAAAATGAATAACTCTGCAACCCATCTTTTCATGTAGGAAACTATGTTTTCAATTGAGTCAAGCGGTTTAAATATTTAGGGTCAGTTATACCTGAAAATAATGAAATAGCCAAAGAAATTCAACAAGGATATTTTCGGGAAATAGGGATTTCTATGGACTGGTAAAACTACTACGATCTAGAGCTTTATCAAGAGAGCTTAAGATACAGATGTATACTATATTACTGCGTCCAGTTGCTATTTATGGAGCGGAAACGTGACCACTTCGAAAATAAGATGAAAGAAAACTGGCAGTATGGAAGAGAAAAATCCTTTGGAAGATCTATGGACCGGTGATAGATAGCAAAAGCAATGAGTGGAGAGTAAGAACAAATAACGTGCTAGAATAACTCTTCCAGAAGCCAAATATATTGGAGATAATAAGGAGTAAAAGATTAAAGTGGCCGGACTGCTTGGCAAAGTCAGAATCCCTTACTACGTATAATATTAGAAAAAGATCCTAAAGGGAAGAGGCCGCTGAGAAGCCCTTGCATGAGATGGGAAGCTCTGGTTAAAAAATATGTAATCGCCTTGGATGAAGGGTCAGATTGGAAGGAACGAGCATCCGACAGAGATGGTTGGAGGGAAGGGTGTTTGACATCCCGTTAGTGGCCGGCTACCCAAAGAAGAAAAAGAAGAAGAAGAAGAAGAACTCTGCAAAAATTCGATAACAGTGATTACTTATTATATTTACAAATATATATATATATATATATCTTATAAATCAATTTTATACTAACTCTATATTATTTTATACTATTCTGGGTTATCAATCATATTGTTCTGTGCACATGTGCACCATTGATACGCATTAACAGAAGAAAAGAAAACTAACAGTTTTGCTTTTTTGATTCCATTAACTCAAATGGCAATCAATATTTAAATACTTAAAATCGATGAAACAAAAGTTATTTAACAAGTATTAAAATAAAAATTATTAAAACTAATTTAACTTATATTTCATGTGAATTAATTTCACTATAGTTCTATTTTAAATTTCAAAATTCAACGGTCAAAGTTGTCTTAAGATTGTAAAAATAATTATGACACAAATGATAAATTCCATGAATAGTTTCAGTGAAATAATTTGAACTATTGGTAGAGATAAAAATAATGATACACAGGTCATCCTATATTAAAATACAAATTACATTTTTCCGTTGATACTATAAATATTTAAAATATAAGTAGTTTTTGCACTCAAAATGATCCTTCATGGAAGTGTATTACATCAAACAATTATACGAGTATGTTTCTTGTTCATTATTTTATAAAGTAAGTATTTTATTGTTTATTACATAAATGATAATTTTAATACAAGAACATTTAACTTATTGGTTACGAGAAATAATTAAACAAAAGGAACAATGAGGCATAATTATTTCAGAAAAAATATCTTTTACCGTTATCGGAATGTATTGACCCATCATCAAATAATAAGACATTAACATTTTCATTGTAATTACCTACTCAATTTCTTAATTGTACGTTTCACTGACTCATTTGAGCTCACCATCTTTGAAACTAACTATCAAATATAAACAAAATCGTAAAATATATTAGTGATCAAATTTAAATATATTACTTGAATATTTTTAAAAATAACTGATTAAAATAAATAATGTAATGAAAAGTATACAGTTAAAAGCATATGGTTTTTACTAATAGTCAACCCCATCAATTCTTGTGGATTTTGTATTTATTTTTTTAACTGAATAAGTATTTTTTTTTACGTTACATGCGATGTAACCTTCAATATGAATAATTAATTTAGCTTTTGATATACATGTCTCACAAACCATTCATTTGTTATTGTTGAAATATGAGCATTAAAATTGTACATATATTAATGATATGATATAACTAATGAATGATTCGTATATTAATAAACATTTATGATGTTATACTTCTGACGTGTTTAGTCTCTGATATACTTCATAACCGTACGTCTATCTTACAAAACACAGAAAAATTGAATTTTTAACAACCGATTATCATTCTATTTTAAGCTGACTTCTGACCACGTTTCACATTCAAATTCCTCCTAATTTTTGGCCCGTCCCTAACTAAATACTCAAATTATTAAACTATTTTCTTTATGCGTTCCGACGTCTGATGTTTCTTAACAACATAAACAATTAACTTTTTCTCCAGCATGTTTAGGTAAGTTTAGTCTAAAATATATCATGTAATAATATAAACATTTTTAATATAAGCTGTTTTGATAGAATTTATTAATTTGCAGGAATGCGAGAAAAATGTTTAAATAAATATTTTATACCATACGAAACAGCGCAATTAAATTTTTTTAATAAATTAAGGTATATATTAAAGTAATTCCATCAAATACTATTTTTTTTATTTTTAGGTTTTTAAGTATAAACCATACTTTTAGTTATAAATACTTAACTAATCAAACTTCGTCCAAGTAATTAGCTTAATCAATAAACAATTGATGATTAATTAAGTAATTTATATTCACTTATATTCTCAATTACGAATTATTATTAAACAAGCTTAAATTTATAAAACGTATATGATGATTTTTAATTTTCCTTTTATTCATAATTGTTTTTTAATAATTGGAATTAATACAGTTAGATTTCTTTGGCAAAGGATCATTGAAGTATGAAATATATTAAATTTATGAAACTTGCTTAAAATTCGATTGTTTATTTCAAACTATTTGAAAATTAGATGTATAATTTCCATGATCATGATAAGTAATCAATAATTTTTTAGGTATCATTGAGTATATTAAAAAAATCAATTCTCATTTAAGAAAATCTACATTTCCAAATAATGTTTATGTATCAATAACAATTATAAAATAACCGTAGAGGTATATTCATATCACTAACTGTTCTTTATTATTGTATGTATACTTCAATATAATATGAAATAATGAAAATAAAGAATTTATATAAATAATTTATCGTATATATTTAGTACTTATTCATGGCAGTTCGTTTTATAATCGAATAAGTAATCATATTTATGACGAAAGTGGTGCGCAAAATAATCACGTTAATATCAATGCTACAACACGTTATTTATAACGAATAATTATTATGATTTTATGTGTTATAGTAATTATTCTCTGGTAGATTACTCTTAATATTTAAAAATAAAAAAAATAAAAGCAATTATGAAAATAATTTTGAGTTATAATCATGTTTTAATGGTTAAAGAAAAATTACGATATGTTCAAAGATATAAATTATTCAAATAATGATATTATAATATGATACATTTTGAAAACCAATAATTAATTACACACTCTACTGATTATTATTATAATGATCAGATTTTATGATTGAAAAAGCTTGTTTAATATACATTATATAAACTTTAAAGTTATTGAAAAACATTTTTGACTTTATATCCTACAGTATTAAGTAATTATTTTAATTATAGCTTAGAATTTTGAGAAAATTATTTTAAATTGAGATAAGTACAAAGTATAGTGTGATAATGAAACATCGTTTATCTTTTTTTTTTTTAATAGAACACATTATAAGTTAAAACTTTTTAATATAATACATAAAACACATTAATTATGTTTTATAGCAACAAATTTTAGAAAAAATGTTTTTATTTATAATTTAAAATATTTATGCCACAGCCAAAAATAGGTTATTGAAATTTATTGTTGACTTCACCCGACTTTACCCATTAATATAAATGCTTATTTGTATGTTAGGTAAGGTTACTATAGGCCAATAAAAAAATTTATTGTAGTAGTTTTGTAAATCCCATATAAATCATACAATATTTGTTTAGTGGTGTTAGGAGGAACCGAAAAACGTCTTTTTACTTCATTCTCTGAGTCACCCATGAAATATATTTGTAAAAACTTTGGTTCTTATAAATTATTTTGTAATATAGAATCAGCCAAATGGTAAACTTGAGCTTGAACTTCAAATGTTGACATAAAATGTCCAGGTCTAATTTCTGTTGCCCCAAATCGTGTTATTTGTAAAGCCGATTTATACGCTCGAACCGTGTAAAAAAAAAAATGTTTTTAATCTCGATTAAGACAATTGTAGATACTTTTTAATGATTCAGGTGGATTATAACTTCAATTTCTTCTAAAAAAAACTTTTCCACCTGAACAGCAAATACCTGAAGGTTTTTTGATTATTTTAATGCATTCTTAATTTATATTATAGCTTACGCAAATAAAAACGTGTTCTTATCTAATTATTTAAACAAAATAAATATATACATAAAGAAAAAATCGTAACCAATCACCGGACGACCTATATTAAGTACTGATGTGATGGTTTTAGTAGTTTGGGATGAGTGAAGACCGGATTTGATTGTTGGAGAGCACACGTCTATGTGTTTTTGCTATGCTGCGCCGTAGGGTATTGAAAAATGAGCAATTATAAATAGATAATTGCTCAATTAACTTAAATAATTGAAATTCAGCTTCAAGCCTGCTCCGTAATGTACTCTTTTATTGAAAAAAAAAAAAAAGTCGAGATAATCGGGTGAATAGTTTCAGAAAATATACGCAACAAAGATTCCATTTTCAAATTTTTACATAAAATGTAACTTCAAGTTGAAAAAAATATAATTGAACATTATGAAAAAAAAAAATGTTATGAGTTTTAAGCAATTCAATGAATCTGTTAAATTGAAAAATCGTTCCGTGAAAAAATATAAATGTCTAGTCTTATATGAATAAAATCAATTCTACATGTTTTTCATCTCAATGGTATTAAAACTATTACAGCTA